CCGAGGCGTGTCAGCCGAGGCCGGGGCGCAGCAGGGGCCGGCGGTGACCTGCCTCCGGTGGGCGCGGGGGGGTCGGGGGCTTCGGGCCAGGCTGGAGCGCTGCTAGTCCTTGGGTGGCTTCTTGATGCGGGCGTTCCACATGCCGCGCTTGGAGTGGTAGTAATGGTAAAAGTTCCTGAGACGCAAGCGCTCCACCTCCAGCCCGCTCTGAAGGACCCTGCAGCCAGACGGATGGATGGACAGACGCTCGGGGGAGGTGCGGGGGGATGGATGCGGCCCCCCCAGAGGGAGGCTTTGCCCCCTCAACACCGCGTCGCCCCAGCCTTGAGCCAGCCTGGCGGAGGGGAGAGCATGTTTCCCCGGAGGGATGAACCCAAGTCGGTGTGGCCAGCCCTGCCGGGGGGATGGGGGGCTGCCAGGGACCCCCTCTCTCACCTGTCCAGGAGCTCCCAGTCCTCCCCGCCCCAGCGGTCTCTGAACTCCTCCGTGTTCATCCCTCCCACGCGGTCAAAGTCCGACTTGTATATGCCGAAGAGGCCAAAGCCATTCACCTCCCAGTAGCCTGGAGGGGGGAAAGCAATGAGGCAAGGGATGAGGGGGGATCCCAAATTCCCAGGCCGTCACCTCTTCACTCTCCCTGCTGCCTGGGAACCATAGAAATGCCCCATCCCAGCCCCTCTTCACCCCCTCCTGGGTCTGTCCCCGTCACTGCCACTGTGGGGGTGCACCAGGTGACAGCCCACTTTCAGGGAGCACTGCACCCAGTGTGCCTCAAGCCCCCCTGGGCTTGAATCCCACCTTTCTGCAGCAAAACCAACCCATTCCCCCCACGCATCCCACCCCAACCCAGCACGGTGGCTGCCCCCGGGCAGGTGGGGGACGTTTTCCAGGTGGAGGGGAGGGTGCTCACCGTTGGGCTCCCGCGGGGAGCTGCCGCAGCTCAGCCTCATGACAATGGGCGCGTAGGCCAGCTTCCCCTCCACACAGTGCTTCCGGATGCTGTCCAGGATATTGGGGGGGAAGTGGATGTGCAGGTCGCAGAGGAAGACGATGCTGTGCCCGTCCTGCGGGAGGGGGACAGACAAGGGAGAGGATCAGGGCAAAAAGTTGCACTGAGGTGAGAACTGGTTCTGTCCTGCGGCTCACCTCGACTGTGTCCACACCAGCCTGCAGCCCGGCTGAGCGCTCAAAGTTCCCCGTGCGCCGCAGGTACTGGTAGCTGAGGACAGAGGACAGGGGGTTAGGGCTGGTGACCGAAAGGGACATGGCCACAAGTGGGACAGAGACCATCAGTGAGGAGAGGGGACTCTCAGGTGTCGACAACTCATGCCAAGGGTCCCCCTGCAGAAAGGAGGTTACTGCATCCCCAACTCCTGTGCATGGAAAACAGGTTTAAACCCCTAAAAAGGAGGAGGAGACAAGGGGCAGCGAGGCAGAGACCTGGGCCGGGCTGGGGAAGGAGCGTGGGTCATGTGAGCAGCACCACGATGGCCTGTCCCACCAGGAGCAGGCCCACAGACCCCCCGGCAGCCTCTGGGGAGCAGGGTGGGAGCTGGAGCTCGCGCAGGGGGTTACCGGGGCAGTCGGGCATCCTGCAGGGCTTTCTCAACATCCATGTCGTCACTGTCGAAGTCCACCAGGATGACGTTGAAGTTGGTGTCCTTCGTAGCCCCATAGAGGCGGGCCATGTCCGAGATGAACTGCTGGACCCAGCGGGCTTGGTTCTTCACTGCCAGACACAGCCACAAACATCCCTCAGGCTCACCACGGGGGGCCCGAGAGAAACCCCCTCCCCAACCAACACCCCTTCTGAAGGAACGCAACCACCTCAGCATTTCATGAGAAGCGATAACCCCCTTGGGCCAGCTCAGAGCAGGCAAAGGGGTTGCCTTCCTCCTGCTGGAGGATTCTGAGGGTGGAGGGAGCAGCAGAGACCCCAGAGAGCCGCATCCTGCCGTCACCTACCGGGCACCACGAAGTGCACCATGACATCCTGCTTCCAGCTGAGCCGCAGTGGCCGGCACAGGATGGGTTTCCCGTAGAGGATGCTCCAGGGGCTCGGCTGGGGCTCAGTGGCCCCTGGGGCCGGCCCGTCGGGGTTGGCCTCAGCGCTGTCATCCTGCTTGCCCTGGTGCAGGAGGACGTAGACGTACTCAGAGAGCCGCACCGTCCGCTGGCCCCGCTCCGCCAGCTCCAGCTCCAGCAAGTAGCGGTTCCCGCGCGCCGTGTCCCGACGCTTCTCCACGTTGACAATCCTCAGGAGGGTGTAGATGCTACGGGGAAAGGAGAAGGGCTCGAACACGCCAGCTCTGCTCCCCACAGCTCCCCTGATCACAGGGTTGGCCCCAACCCACCATCCAGCTCACCCAGCCCCAGGGAGGGGGAAGGCACCTCCCACCTGCGCCCCCCTCCCTCCCTACCCTCCGTTCTTCTCGTTGAGCTTCTCCATGTACTGTGCCACCACGTCGACGACCTCGCTCTCGCTCAGCTGCAGGTTGCCTGACACGTTGCAGCGCAGATCGTTCCAGTCAGAGCGCAGGAGCTCGAAGTCCACCGAGCTGACACTGAATGTCCTCTGCCAGTTGATGGAGTCCTCCAGCCAGCCCTGCTGCAGCTCCCCAGTCTCGTAGCTGTAGTCTGACACCTCTTCTTCCTCCTCCTCCTCTTCCTCCTGGCCCTTTCCCTCCTCCCGCTGGGATGCCGTCGTCTCTGACATCTTCAGAAAGGATGTCACCCGCGGCCCCTCTGAGCGGGCCGCCTCGGAGGAATTGTAAGCGGCAGTGGCCGCCATCTTGCCTGGGGCAGGAGTCGTGTCCTCGTGGGTCTCCCTGCTGAAGAGCCCTTCAGTCCCCAGGGCAAGGAGGCTGGGCAGTGCCCGCCGCTCGGTACTCAGCTTGGGCGGCCGTTCCCACCTCCTGCCACCCGTACGGGCACTCTTCCGCCTGGCAGCATCCCTCTCCTTGGAGAGGTTGCTCAGGATCCAGGGGCTGCGGTGGCCAGGGATGGCACGGAGCTTGCTGGAGGCCATGGGGTGCTTCTGAGGGGTCCTGGAGCGCAGGTGGACTTTCTTCAGAGGCTTTGGGTAAAGAAAGATGCTGGGGAAGGCCGGCTCCTGTGCCGGGGCTTTGCGCTTCCCTGGCTGCAACCTGGTCACATAAACCTTCTCCTGGACTTTCCGGGGCTTCTTCTCCTCCCTGGGTGCTGCAGCCTTGCTGGGACCTGGTGTTCTGGCTTTGCCGCCAAAGACAGGAACGGAGAGGTGGGGTTGGAGGCTCAGGGCCCCAGCATGCTTTGAAGACACCAGCAGCCCCAGCTCATCCTCCTCACCCTCACCGGGATCCTGGGGTAACCAACTGAGCACCCGCCCATGGACCTGCTCCAGCACAGGGCCCACATCCTCCTCCCCGCGGAGGTCCTGGAGGGCGGCCGCTGGGCTGGTGCTGGCCCGGCGGGACGTGGCCCATCCTCCCGGCTGCCCAGGCGTGCCTGCTTCCTCCCGGGCCTGGCCCTGCTTGCGGCGAAAGCTGTAATAGTCCAGGTCGTCTCCATAATCCCCAGTGACTGGCGGGCTCTCTTTCCCTCTGGCTCCAGGTACTGGCCCGAAGCCCTTCTCCTTGGCTCTGGGAGGCGGGTCTGTGGGCTCAGGGCTGTCCACTCCTTCCTCCTCCTCCTCATCCTCGAGGAAGTCTAGGGAGTAAAGGCAGAGATAAACACCCTGAGGGTCCCAGCTGCTGGGCATAGACCCTGCAGCATGCTGGCCCAAGGTGAGGGGGCAAAGCTTGTCTGCAGCAAGAGATGAACCTGTGAGTGGCCTCTGGGTGAGGAGGCCCAGGAGCTGGCGGGCACTGAGCAATGCTCAGTGGGGCTGGCAGCTCAGGCTCTGCCCATTAAGCCCCCGCAAACCTTGGCTGCAGACACCCCCCCCCAACTCCACACTGCATCTGGCCACATCCTGCTGCCCCCTGACCAGCCCAACCCGGGAGATGTGGGTCCTCAAGAAGTAGGGAGGGTGAATCCCAACCCCAGCATCCTGCAGCACTCTGCGGTGGAGCCAAGCGGGATGGGTGCAAACGGAGCATGCGGGACTGCTCTGAGCAAGCTGCTCCACGCAGCCCTGCCCTGCTCGAGCTCCCCGGCGCTCCTGGAGCCGCATCTGTGAGGGGCTGGGCTGGTGTGGGAGGACACGGGGTGCTCAGCCCTGTGCCATGCTGACCAGAGACACCCAAAGAGCTGCCAGCGGCAGCAGTGACTCACTGTCTGGGTTGAGAAAGAGAAATGCTCGCTGGCGCGGATCCTCCTCCTCTTCATCCATCTTCATGTACTTATAAAAACCAAACCTGGGAGATGGAGAGGGAAGATGAGGTCCCGGAGATATGGGAGGGGTGGGCGCGTGAGGGGACGTGCTCGCACACACGTGAGCTGGCACAGGAACGTCCCCAGCTGCAGCCTGGCTCTGAAGGGAGCTGGGATTCCCAAAATCCGGGAGTGCTGCCAGGCCTCAGGCTGACACTGCCCGAGAGATGGGAAAAGAGCCGGCCTGGAGGTGGCCCTTCCACGAGGGACGGAGCTCGGGGGCACACAGCTGAGGGTGCCCCATCTCAGCACCGCTCCTCCAGCTCTTTGAGCACCCTATTGACAGCCTCCTCCGTGTGCCACCCCTGAACGCCGGGTCCCCAACACTTACTTCTCCAGGTAGAGGGGGGACTCTCTGTAGAAGCACTTGTTCTCCGTCTCCATGTGAGTGAGGCGTGTGAAGTCGTTGGGGTACACGAACGAGAGGTAGACCTGGGGAGACGACCACGCTGCTGTCACCATGGCACACAGTAGGCTCGCCACGAGGAAGTGCGGGCCGGTGGGGCTAGAAGCCCTGGACCCAAGGCCCTCAACAGCGAGGTGACCCCCAAACACCCCACAGGGTTTTTAACTCAAATCCCTTCAGGTCAAGATGGGGAAGCTCAGCCTGATGCTGAGGAATGTTTTCTCCTGGATTTAAACCAGGTGTAACTATCCCTGCCCTGGGGTGGGGGCAAAGCGTTCGGCTTGGCCCTGTCTCCCAGGGAGCGCAGCCCCATCCCCATCCCGGGGACACTTACAAATTGCAGGCCCTGGTAGCGGGCGATGGGGAAGTCCTTCACCACGTAGGTAGGGCTGTAGGCACAGGGCACCAGCACATTCTCCACTCGCGAGGCCTCGATCGCAGGTGCTGAGGAGAAGCAGCCGCAGCTCAGCCCCAGGCCATGCCCTGCCACCCCTGTAGCTCAACCCATGTTATAGTTTGTAGCCCAAACCACCCCAACTTGTCCCCCCACAGACACCAGCAGAGATTCCCTTCAGCCAGGAGATGGGCAGAAGGCAGGAGGGATGCACTGGGTGCCCGTGGCAGCCAGGTCCTGCCTTCTGCCTCCCCCAAAACCCCACGGAGATGCATGAGGGCCCAGTCCCGGCCACTTACTGAGGAAGAAGGTGTCCCTGGGGTCAGACTTCAGCATGTCAGCCCCGTGCTCATCCTGCTGTGCCTCCCAGAGGTAGCTCCCACTGTGGCTGGCCAAGGTCTGTGGGATGTGCTCCACGTGGTTCATCTTCAGGGACGACTCATCTGCAGAAGGCCAGGACAGGGGCTGAACCCCGTGGGCCTCCTGTCCCAGGAGCATCCTCCAAGGTGGCACCTCCCAACCTCTCCATCCCCTCCACTAAGAGAGCTCAGATTATGGATTCTTCCTGCTCCCAGGGGAACAAGAGGAGCCGATGTGTTTGCATGAGGGGAAAGCCAGCACCTCCTTCCCTCTCACACACTTGCAGACCCCCGTGACTAATCAGCCTAATGATTATTGCCATCAGCTAATGAGGACAAGGGTACAGCTGATCTCAGCCAGGCAGCCCCAGCTCCGATTACAGCATAGCTCACCAAAGACAAGGGGTGGGAACGCTCCAGGGCTTTAACTCCCAAGGACACAGGAATTAAACCGTGAATGTTTGTCCCTGAAGAGGTGCAGGTAAATGTAACATGAGCTGGTTTTGCCTCCTATTCAGGGCGAGGGTGGCGTGTCGTCCTTGGCTATCAACCAGCCCCCAGACCTCCCTGAGGGAGGTCACCTCACTCTGGTCACCTTGGCTATGCTTGGAGCTGCCTGCCCTGAGCACCCAAGGGTGCTCCCTCCCTCTCCAGGCAGCCCTGCCTGCTGCAGAGCTGCAGGGAACCAGGTGGGTCCTGAAGCAAGCAGGAACCCCCTTCCCATGTCCCAAATTCTCCTGCTTGTGGCAGAGGGCTCCCCAAACACCTCCACGCAGCCGCACAGGTTGGGCCGCGACCCCCAGCAAAGCCCAGAGAAAAGGAAGGGAGGAGGATGCTCTGCGCGTGGCTGGCGTCCCCCAGGTCACAGGGATGGGCTCCCCACAAGGGACGTGGCTTCACCCCGAGCTGCTGCCAGGGTCCAGGGGAGCCAGGGAGTGGGAAAGCAAAGCGGAAAGAGCTGGCGCTGATGGATAGCGGTTGGGGGTGGAATTTATTTGCATGTCATCCACCTCACAGGCACCTGCATCGATACCAGCAATACCCCTCCATCCCTCTTCTCCCTGTTGATCCCCAGCTGCTGCCTGTCCCCTCCTGCCTCATTGACACCTTCCAGGGCATGTTTGATAACCAGCCCTCCAGCGCATCGAGCACTGGGACAGGACCCATCTATCAAGTCCTTTTTTGCTGCCAGGAAAGGGGCAGGAAGCAGAAGATCTATAGATTTAATTAAACCTTGCGCCATCCATCCCTGCTTACACAACAGCTCCTCATAACTCAGGGCCAGGCCAGAGCCTCCGTGATCTCATTAGCAGGGACGAGGCCGGAGCACCCAAAGCGCCACAATTCCATGGCATCACCTCTGCAGCTCATTTTTAGGAGGGTCACAGCACACTCCCAGCATCGCCCCTAACCCCCCCGCAGCCCCTCGCCTCCTTCCCTACAGCCAGCAGAAGCTTGGGGGATTTTGAGAGGCCGAGACCTTCCCCCAGGATCTGATTTCCCAGGCTCTGGTGCCATCTCTCCCCGGCTGCACCAACACATGCAGCCCCTCACCGCGGCGGCCCACAGGCACGCAAGGCCCTCACCTGTGTACAGAGAGATGTAGGAGGAGTCAATCACTTCGAACTTCAAGCTGGGGAGGAAAACTCGCCACTGGAAAAAAAGATAAAAGGAGATGGAGACTGAGTGGGAGGGTGGCAGGGGTTCAGGATGTAGCTGCCCCAGGCACCTTCAGATGGGTCCTCCCTGTCCTCAGCTCCCAGAAACTGCCCTGCACTGATCCCAGCTCCAACCCTGCAGGAGGGAACCAAGGGAGAGGATTGATCCTGCCCCAGCAGAGACCCAGGCCCATCTCCTGCCCTCACACGAGGCCATCGGGGATTAGTAGGCACCTGCTGTGTGGTGGGAGAGGGGGAAGGCTCCCACGGGCGCTCCCCTCTCCGCACTGGGGTGCTCCTGGGCCAGCCCCAGCCCCGCATCGGCAGCATCACAGGAGGCAGCTCAGCCGCGGGGCAGCTTCTCCACGCACCCCCCCTCCAACATCGGAGAACGTCACAGGGTGGCCACGACACCCCCCGAGGGCCTGAGCCAAAGTGGAGGTGCACAGAGCCCTACAACACCCCTCTGCCCCCCCAGTGAACAGCCGTTAGCAGCAGTTTGCCCTGACAGGAGGGGGCTGCACCCCTGCCCGCACCCATCCAACCATGAGCAGTTTAAAGGCACATCTTGAGCCTTTGTCCGGACAAGCCCTTAAATACCCACAGGGAGAGATGCATCAGGGTCCTGCTTTTTTGTTGTTGCTGTTTCTTTCTGAACATCTGAAAGGCTTCCCTCCCTCCAGGAAAAAAAAAAAAAATTCTGCTCCCCTCTATTTGTTTTTCACAGCAGAAATGCAGATCTTATCGGGATGGAGGAGATGGAGCCCTGGAAGGGCGAGGTTGAGCAAGGGGGAGGAGAGGCCAGCGAGGAAGGGGTGTTGTCAGCCTCCCTGATGCTTTGCTGGCACAAGTTTGACTCCAGTGATTAATGACTGCTTGGGAGAAAGGAAACCTTTGCTAAGGAGCCAACACCTTCCCCTCCCAGAGACAGCCGAGCTCCTGACACACACGCTCCAGGCTTTGCAGCCAAGGCAGGCAAGTTCAGATTTGAAATTCCTGGTATCTTGAAGCGGGAAAAGGAGAAAGGGCCCCACTCCATCACCCCGGCCACCTCTCCCAGCACCAACCCTGGGACACGAGCCGGCCATGCGGGCTGCTGCTGGAGATGAGTCCCGGCTCCATCGGAGCGACGCTGGCTTGTCCCCGCTGCGGACTGAGCCACCAGCAGCCAGGAATCGTGGCTTTGCTCCAGGATCAAGCGTTTTAACGTGAACTGGGAAAAGCCCCGGAGCCGGCTCCTGACAGGCCAAGCCTTGAAAGGAGCCCGGGGTGGGGACATTTACTCACGCCAACTTCCACATGGTCTGAACCTCGGTCGTCTTGTTTGTGGAGCAGCTCGAAGTAGTAGCGTCTGGAGGACATAAGGCTGCACAGGAGGGGAGGAAGCCAGTTAGAAATCATTGCTGAGCCAACTGCTGCCACTGCTGGGGCGATGGGAGCCCCCCTGCCAGAGGAGACATCTCAGGGCAACCTCTCTTTCTTGCTCCCATGTGGCTAACCCCTCTTGGGGCAGGGAGATGGGCAGTGCGGGGTTGGCATCTGCTCCCCCACCCCACTGCTGAGGAGCTTCATGAGATCAGGGGGATCCCCCGTCCCCACCTCATCCTCTGAAGAGGTGGCTGCAGCCCCCAACACCTTTAAGCCATGGACCACGTTTGTCTGAGCTCCTGTCCCACCCAGACCCCACGTATCGCTTGGGCAGAGAGCATGGCCAGGGAGGAGGAGCTGGCCAGAGCCAGTGTGCAGCCAGCAGCTCTGTCTCCGGCATCCAGCCACCCGGGATGGGCAGCGGGTGCAAGGACACACTTACCGGAGGGGCTTGGAGACTTGTGAGCTGAATTTGGTGAACTCTCCTGGCGCCGTCCACTCGGTGCCCAGCTGGAGGAAGGAAGAAGGGGCATGTGTGAGCACCAGGGACAGCAGGGGCCAAGCAGGCACAAGGGCCAGACCCCACTGAGCTGTGGGATCTCTCCTCCACCTCCATCAGGCACTATGCTGTGCTGCAGAAAGGCTCTTTGGGCAGGACATCCCAGGAGCTCCACCCCAGGGCTGCTTGTCCCCAGCTGGTGGCACTCCTGCCACAAGAACTTGTCACTGGCCAACAACACCACGATCCCAGCAATGCACAGATGTGATGATGGTTTCCCGTTACACAGGTTAACGCCAGGGAAATCCAGGAATAAGTGTTAAATCTCCTATTCTGGAACATAAGCTGTTCTTTCATAGCTATAACTAGGATGGGACCAAGGGGCAGATGGTCCTTCAGAAGCCAAACCAGGCCTCGCCAGAGGCAGAGATGAGACCACACCGAAGTAGCCCAGCATCTCCCATGGGGGCAAAGCAGCAGTAAATTTGCCTCTGGCAAAGTCACACATGGACCCCGTACGCTCCCCTGCAGCAGAGGGAGAGTTTCTGGTGGCTGAAGAGCACCCACAGGTCTGAAACATCGTTAATTGAGCACCAGGGATCCCCAGAAGGCACTTGGGAAGGTTACTGGCATGCTGGGAGTAGGGAGCAAGGAAGCCCGAGGGAGGAGATGCTCTCAGTGAGAGCTCAAGCATTCCTGGGGTGGGAAAAACAAAGGGCGGAGGACAAGGGCTCGTACCTTGCCCACGAACGCAGCCAGCCGGGAGTTGGAAGGACTGTCGTCAGAACTGAGCCAGAACTCCGAGTTGTCATCCGATGCCACAGAAAACTGGAAATCCCCTGCAGAGAGCAAAGGAGAAGGTCATTGCAGGGCCAGTGGCGTGGGCCCAGCCCTGGTGCTCCGTTGGGAGGTGGGGAAACAGGGGTGGATGGGCCGAGGTGATGGGGCCGCCCCAGACCCCACGTCCTGGCTCCCCCTTGGATGGGAGCGGGGCTTCGCCTGCCTCTGAAGCAACCAGGAAAAAGGGTCTTGGCTCCAGAAGGACCCTCCTCCCTGGAAGCCAGGGGTTTGGGGACTGTCCCTAAGAGCCCCCCTGTCCTTGGCCCAAGCAGGGAGAAGGAGGCAGCTTCTCCATGTTGCTGCAGGGGGAGAAGAGGTCAGGCTCCATCACTCACCATCCTTGAAGGGGTGGATGTAGCCAAAAATCCTCAGCCCGTAGTTCTTCCACTTGGGTGACACAGCCAGCTTTTTCACCGTGGTGCGGGTCTGTGGAGGAGAGACACAGATATAGAGGCATGAGCAGTTCGTGCCCAGGCTCATACCTGGCACCAACATCCCCCAGCCCACCTCCTCCTTGTTATCCCGGGGTCCTGTGCTGCTGACACCAGAGAGGACATGGAGGGCCCATCACCACCCAACCTCTCTGTCCATCCCTGTTCTGCTGGGCATTTCCTGCCTCAAACCAAACCAAAGCCAAGAGGGAACGGCCTCAAGCTGCACCAGGGCAGGGTTAGGCTGGCTATGAGGGGAGGAATGGGCTAGCCAGGGCAGGGGGGGAGTCCCCATCCCTGGAGGGGTTTAAGAGTTGGGTTGACCCAGCACTGAGGGATCTGGTGGAGTTGGGAACAGTCAGGGTGAGGTTCACGGTTGGACTGGAGGATCTTCAAGGGCTTTTCCAACCGAGATGATTCTGGGATTCTGTGAAAAAGCTTGCAGACAAAGTCTTGAGGACCAAGCCCACAGCCAGTGGAGACCCAGCAGTGCCCAGAGAAAGATGAGTGGACCCTCCCTCTGACCCACCACCATCAGGCTGGGACTCACATGGGGAAAGAGCGGAAAATGGAGGTTCTTCCTCAGGTGCCTCACAGCTCCTCCACACCAGTCTTCGAAGACGTGCAAGTTTGCCTTCCCTTTGTACTGCGGGATGAGAGAGGCGATGAGCGGGGTGTCCTCCTCGCGTCCCCCCTCTCCACCCAGGACAGCGTGAGGGCAGGTGAAACACGGGCATGCTGGCCCCAGGACGGGTGGTGGAGCAGGAGGAGAACAGCTGGAGGTGACTTTGGAGCCTGGCACACTACAGGACATGGGCTGCAGGCTCCCCAGAGTGGCGCTGGGCCACCTCCTCCTCCACCCTCCCCGTGATGCTTCCTGCCACCCACCTGCTCATTCCAGGGCAAAGCCTGCTTGGTCAGGTTGAGCTTGGGCTGCGTCGTGGCTTGGCTGGAGCGTTGGCCTCTGGAAAACCACCCATCCAAGTCCTGCCCATCGTTCTGCCAGGGAAGCAGGGGGGAGAGATGAGAGATGGGGGGAATCGGGGCCAGCCCAGCTGTGCTTGCAGGAGGTCTCCCTAGATCTAAACATCTCATTTTGGATGTCAAGCACTGCCAAACCAAGACAAAAGCTTTCAAGGCTAATGGCAAAGGAAAGCAGGGGAGCAGGAGGCAGAAGAATATTGGCAAGGTGTCCTGGGGAGCAGTTTCAAAATGTTCCAGCTAAACTAATTTCCCTTCCTCTGTTGAGGAGAAAAACTTCTCCAAAACAGTGAGTTTTCTGTTCATCCAAAATGTTCAACTGGTCTGATGGGCTACTGGAAGTGGACTCTTTTGGGCTCCATCTCCAAGAAAGCAGAAGCAATCTCTATGTCCGCTCCTGGGCAGAGGAAGAGGGATGTTCCCCCACTCCCTCTCTTCCTTTGAAGGGGTTTAGATTAATCCAATCGCTCATCTCCCATAATTTAGAGAGATTAGGTGAGCGTTCACCTGCTCCCGGCTTGCTGAAAAGGTGATGGGTGGCAAGGAAGAGCCAGGCACTCCTGGAGCCCAGAGCATCCCCCTCTTCCTCCATGTTGGCAGTCACGTGCAGAGCGGAGTGGGCCTGTGCCAACACTGGGCATTGCCCCAACTCTGCCATCACGTCCCCAGGAGCACGGGCGGAGGAGGAACGAGAGACCAGCCTGCACGTGGGGCAGGAAGCGCTGCCAGCCCTCTCCAAAGTGACTGCTGAGCTGCCACCCTGTCCTGTCCTGTCCTTGCCTGGGGTGACGGGAAGCTGTGCCTGTCACGCAGGGCCGTGGCTGGTGTCACAGCCCATCGTCACACTCAGCACCAGTCCTCTCCGGGGATGGGGCTGAGGGGACACAGATGTCCCTGCCACCTCTCTTAGGGGGAGTTCCCGCTACCACCCCCCATGGCAGGGAAGGACCGTGGCACCCCCGAAGAGCAGAGCTGACCCTCTGAGTGTGGAGCCCGGCTCTGGGCCCAGGCAGAAGCCACAGCATCAACAAAGCGCAGCCCATTAGGATGCACAGGACCGAAGAAACAATTAGCAAACTTTGCCTAAATGAACTCATTAGCATCCCGGAGTAGGGGAGTGGTGCCCTCAAAAGACCTTATTAGGATGGTGGCGTAATCATGCCATGCATGTTGGAAGGATTCACCCTCCTCCCAGGGAAAGCCAAAATGCTGTTCCTGCCATCCTCACCCAGCATCAGCCCAGGCTTTCTCCGAGCACCTTGTTTTCCTCCTTTGTCCATCTGTCCCTTATAAACGAGGAGCTGGGAGAGATCAGAGCAGGGGTTGTCCCTTGTCACCTGTCCGCCGCCAGCCAGGCACCCCAGCTTCTCCCCATCCCTATTTCTCACAGCCTGATTGCCTCCGAGCCTGATGCCCGCTCTCCTTCCCCGCACATACCTCCACCCCCAGCACCTGGAATAGCCTCTGTCCCTCCGCTGAGAGGAACAGGGACGAATCTCCAACCCACGGGTGTGACGAGTGGGGGGAACTAGCCACCAGCACCCTGCCCTGCCCCAGAGAGAAAGGACCAGCTGTGCTGACAGCGAGATCCGCAGGTGGGAGCTCACCAGAAGGAAAGTTTTCTGTCTCCTTTTTTGAAGCAGTGTTTTTTTGCTCCGGTTTGCGGAGTCCTTCGCAGCCGGGCTGTTTGCTTTCAAACTGGAGTGAACTTTTCCCCTGCCCGCCCCAACAGAGAAGACTATTCACAGCCCAGCTCCCCGCAGCTGGGAACAGGGGGTGGGTTATTTGCTGAAGGTGGGGACAAACCAGCCTTTTAATTGCAGAGCCGGGGGTGCTGCGGATGTGCAGTGGCTGCAAAAGACACAGGGCAGGGCAAGGCCTGACGAGAGGGACTTGGTGCTTCTCCCTCTCTCCAGACACAAACTCACCCATGTTCCAAGTACTGGGGCTGGGGAACAGCCCAAGCAATGCCCACCCCGAGAGCAAGGTGCTGCCACAGGGCCGTGCAGCAGTTTGGCAGTGACCTGCTGCTGGGATGGGCAGGGGACGCCCCATGGCTTCCTACCCCTGGCACCCGCCTGCCCTGCTCCAAAGCCTCGTGGTGACAACACATTGAACAGGGGACAGCAGGGTGTGGAACAAGGGATCGGTGACAACAGGGTGTCCTCGTGGCTATGATGCCAAGTGTCTTGGCAAGGAGAGATCCTCTCTCCAGCTTCTGCTTGGAGCCCCCACCTGGGGCACACTGGGTCCAGTCCGGGGCTCTCCAGGCCAGGCCAGACAGACGGAGGTTGGCACGAGGACACAGAGGTGGCTTTGCCCAGCAAAGCGGGACCTTATCGCCACAGACAGCACCATGAGAGAGAGCAGCAGGAAGATGATGCCAGGCCCCTCTCAGAGGAGCACAGCAACAGGACAAGAAACACAACACTCAAAGTTTCAGCAGGATATCAGGGATTTTGTTTACCCACCACGAGGGTGGCTGAGCAGAATGGAGAGGTTGTGCCTTCTCCATCCTTGGATCTACTCAGCAGGACCGGGCCTGGTGCTGGGGGACTCGGAGCAGTGACATGCACAGGGCCCTTCCCACCCACCCGTGCTCCAGCTCTCCTTACCATCAGCTCCTCCTCATGGCTCTCGCTGGACTCCTCAGCTTTCCTCCTCCGTGCCGATGCCCGGGCCACCGCCGGCCGCCTGACGGGATCGGTCACCTCCCCCAGCCTCTCGCCATCTGCGAAGGGAGCAGGAGAAGGAGTGAGACTACCCGCTGCATCCTCCCCATCCCAACACCACCCCTCTTTTGGGGACACCCCCTCGCCCTGGCGCGGGGAAGGGCCGGCGCTGCCAGCGGGGAGGGACACAGGGGACAGCAGCGAGGGGCTCTGGCTGTGAATTCCCTCCCTCCTTACATCTGTACTAAGCAGCCTGCAGCAGCTCATCAGCGCTAGGTTTAATTACACCCCCGCAGCCCAGCTCACAGCCCTTGATGTAAGACACGGCCAGGATAAGCTCCCATGGGATCTGGCTCCCCATCCAGCCAGGGGGACACAGCCCAGCTCCTCTATCCCCCCCAGCTCTCCCGGGGCATCCCACAGCTCTGCCCAGAGCACACTGGCTCCGAGCCCCCCCAACATATTCTCCCCAAACCCATCTTCCCACCCCCCAACACCTCGCTAAAGGTACGACCATGAAGCCCTCACCGACAGCCCCATCATGGGCAACGTCGTTACCGTGTGCTGCATTAATTACCCCCAACCTACGGTCTCCCCTCTGCAGCTCACACCCATCTTCCTCGGGCTGCAAGGGCAGGTTTATTTTAAACTGCCCTCACTTCCCAGCATCAAAATAACCAACTTCTCCCAAAAGAATGGCGCAGACTTGGAAAATGTATTAGTTATTCCGTGGAGGGCACATCCCCTTTCTCTGCCTCCAAACTTTGTAGACAGGCGCCCCAAAACCCGGTGGAACAGCAGAAGTTGGCTGTTTGTCGCTGCCTGCTCAGTGTTTCAAACGGGCATCGGGGAAGCCCAGCAGATGCTGGAAGAGGTGGGTGTCTAAGAGCCGCCACCGCCACCCATGAGTCCCCCCCACAGCTCGGGGTGCCCTCGGAGCTCCCCCTTCCCACACCATTAGTATTCCAGCAGCCGCGCAGCCCGCGTCTCCTTGGAGATGGCAGCACAACTCCCACCCCCACCGCGGGGACAGGAAATTAAGCTCTAAAGCCCCTTCTTCTGCTCTCAGCCATTCTTTGTCCCTGGCAGCTCCGTCTCTCTCCTGGCAGCCCGTTGCCTCCCTCCAGCCGCCCTCTTCCCCTCACCCATCTTCATCCCGCGGCCTGAGAGAGTGATGGGGAGCATGGCAGGGAGGAGCAGAGCCGGGGCCAGCGCTCCCCATCCCTCCCAGGGATGCTCCTGCCAGCACGAGCGGTCAAAAATCAAACTGATCCTCACTACACCGAGGCCGCAGATACCGCTGCTCCACCGCGGAGGCAGGGGTCAGTGTTATTTCCCCCCCCTCGATGCTGACTTGTGGATTAATCATGGCCATGAGGAGGAATAATGTGCTCCCACGGCACCTGCCAAGGTGGAGGGGACACGCTGCAAGTCCTGGCCCCAGGATGAACTAACCCCCCGCTGCCAAGCCCTGCGACCCAGCCACCAAACTGAGCCAGCAGCAGCCCAGGCCACACCCACAGGGGGTAACAGAGGTGGGCACCCCTCCTCGCTCACCCCTTATTTACCTCTGGGTGCCACACCTGGGTTTGGGCCCCTGCTACAAGGCCCTGGGTAAACCAGAGCAAGGTTATGTGATATAAATTAGAGCAAAGGGAGTTAAAAAGCCATGCGCTCCCCCGAGCGAGGCTGCGCAGGGTCTGTCCCAAAGCCGTGAGCCCCTGGCCAGCTCCCAGCCCCAGCCCCCAGCTCCATCCTCACCAGGGACCCGCTCAAGCCACTGTAAAGGAGCAGGACAGGGCTTGTGCTCCCTACCCCAGTTTGCATCTAAATTAAATGCCACCGCTGCTCTGATGGGGTTTAAGTAATACCGAGGCTCAAAACCCATGTGCCTTCAGCAAAACCCTCTCTCTTCTTGGCGGGGAGGCAAGTGCTCACCCTGAGAGGCACCTGCATCCTGGGAGGAGCGAAAGCACCAGCAAAGCCCAGGAAAAAGGCTCCCAGGCTTCTGTGCTGATGTTTATTCCCCTGTAATTTAAATATTGGATAGGAAAAGCAAGGGCAGCCTAAGACAAACACGCTGTGGCTCAGCAGCCTGGGTGGGAAATGGAAATAAATGTCACCCTTGATAAGGTGAGGGCAAGGGTACCTTGTGCCAACGAGCATCACTTTGCTTCCTCCCCGAAAATGGAGCCCTTTTGGTCTGAACCTCACCACTGCAAGAGAGGGTTGCAGGAGAAGAGGAGGGAGAAAGCAGTGTGGGGAGGAAGGAGGGTTTCAGTCATTTCCCCCCTGCTCAGTTTCCTCCGGCACATCCTCCCTGCACCCTCCGGCACAGGCCGTGGGCCGTATCCAGCCCAGCTGCTCCCCCAGTACCCCCAGGATGCACAGCCAGCACTGCCGCACCCAGTAATTCTGCTCACCTGCCTCTTTCCCTTTGTCAAGGGCCAGAAAGAGCCGCACAAAGGTGGGAAGCAGGGGTGAGAGAGGATGGGGGGAGGTCTGGAGGACGAGCAAGGGACCTGCTCCCTCAGGGCCAGCATTGCCCAGGGGATGCTGGCAGGGAGGCACTAAAAGCTCTTCGCCCAGCAAGCACGGGAGCGATGGTAATGCTTCCAGAGCAGCGCGAGGAGGGGGCCAGAGGTGCCATCGCACAAACATCTGAGCCCCAGCAGCCTCCAGCCAGTGAGTCAGGGCCAGGAACAGTCCTCAGGATGAGGCCCGGGTGTGCAAGGGAACAAGTTCTGACCCCACTGCCCAGTGCAGAGACCCAGGCAATGCCTTCCCCGGAGAGAAGAGTCTCCCCGTTATCACAGCCACAGAACGCCCCCCCCGTGCTGCCTCCCCCTCTGCCGGGAAGCACAGAGGGGCCTTTCACACAGCAGACTCCCGTCCCCTCGCGTTGCCCTCGGCTGACGGCGCGCAGCTCACTCGCCCCGAACACAGCCCCTTTCTTTGCTTGGGCGTCGGAGCCGGGAATTCTCCTGCAGCTTTCTGGACCCTTTCCAAACCCTCCAACGTGGTTAGAGATGCCCCTCATTTACGCTTCCTCCTGCATCTCTTAATTGCTCCTAACGTGTCTCCCCTCCAGTTACACACTGCAAGCTCGCTCCGCTCTCACCCCCACCTACCCAGGCCAGGGGTAAACCCAGTGTCGGTCCAGCAAGCCGAGCTGCCTTGGCACGGAGCAGGGAAGCTCATGGGAGCGTCCACAAAAGGATCAGAGCTGAGATTCCCAGCTGCCTGCAAAGTTCCCAGCCCTCATAAAGATGCAGGTGAGCTGGCCAGAACTTGGGAGGACTGAAAAAATTATGATATTCATGCAAAAAATCATGTCTGAGCTCAAACCACCAAAATCTTGTCCTAAAAAAAAAAAACAAAACCCAACACAATATTTAAGCTGCAATTTAGAAGTGTCCCATGGGGTCTCCTGGGAGCTGTGGTTTGGTTTGCCAGGCCCCGTGTCGCCTTGGCCAGCCTCCCCCTTGGTGGGGCACGGCCCCGTGCCACGGGGGCACACTGGTGACAGCAGCCTACAGTTCCCCACCAGCTACCCCGGAGCAAACCGTGACCGGAGCGATGGAAAAGGAGATGGCTGGATTTAGCTCAGCGCTCCAAGAAATCCCAACCTGGGGTGCCCATCTGATCTCCTGTCTTCCCAGTCCTGCAGCAAAATCTGCACTGGCTGGGAGATGCCAAAGCAAACTGGAGCTGCCGCCAGCCCAGCTGCAAGCTGTCTCGCCACTGTCCATCCCTGCAGCGCCGGTAGGCTGGGCTGTGACAGGCTGCCAAAACCCTCCAGGTGTGTTCAGAGCTGCATCTTAACCTAGATCCCTAACCCTGGGGAAAAAGATGAGCTGGGAAGCAGCACCACCATCCACACATGGAAGACACGGAATGGCCAGGAGAAACCCAAATAGAGCTTGGGGCATCCCCACCAGTGCCAAGCCCTGTCCTCTAAACCAGAGCTGGGTTTTACTACTCATAGAAACACCAGCCTGGGATTTGCTGCTCTGCTCAGCACCCCAGCGCTGCCCCCAGCACACCCCTGAGCCCAGGTGATGGGTGAGGCATGGGCTGAGCGCCGGCCCCAGGCGCAGGGCAGATCTCCCTGCTTGGTGTGGGGAAGAAGCCTGCCTGAGCAGCCAGCCCCGATGCTCAAAAAGATCAGGCAAAGCCTTTGGAGGCTGGAAAACCCAAGGGCCTGGATTAATTCCCTTAATTCCCACTGCCAGCTGCTGCAGGAAAACTTGTGACCAAGACAGGAGATTGCTGAGGGACCTTCATAGGCATGTGCTGCTACCACACCTTCCTCAGAGCATACAAACCCAAGAGGAAAGGCCAGGGAGGAGCTGGGATGGGATGGATGCCCTGCACCTCCGTGCCATGGAGAAACACTCAGGGACAGGCTGGAAACACCGGGACAACGGTCAGGATGCTGAGAACCAGGTTTTGGGCACACTGAGTACCCCAAGTCTGAGCTGACATCCTCCACCCAAGCGAGGCTGCTCCTCATCTCTGAGCTCCTGTGGGATGCTTCTGTGCAGTCCAAATGCAGAGGAATGGGAGAGGGACAAAGCTTCTCCGGCATCCAGTCCAGCTACTCTAAGTCTGTCTGCATGGCTGGGAAACACTGCAAGTAAAGCAACCCTTGCTCACACAGACCATCACATCCATCCCCTCCTTTCCCATGAAAAAAAATAACTCAAACGCTACCAAACCAACAAGCCCACAAAGAAAGTGGGAGAAAAAAAGCACCTTTGGGAAAAGCGTCCTGGTGGAAAGAGAAGGGCCGGGGCCTCACTCATGGTGGCATGTAAAGCTATGACCATGCCAAAGGGGAACACCAAGCTCGTGTTAGGAGGATGACAGTGAATGAGGGATGAGGGCAGCGACTCAAGCCAGAAGACATGCTGGGGATGCAGGAAGTGGGTGAGCAGCTCCAAGAAAACCATCCTGAGCATCTGCCAAGGGTTCAGGGAACAGAAAAGGAGAACAGCCCAACCCCGACACCTTCCCAGGGCAAGGACGGGGAAAGCTCCTGCTGACCTCTCCTCCTGTGCCCACCTTCAGTTAGTCCCAAACCACAGAGCAGGTCAGGATCAGGGGCAGAGTGATGCCCAGCAGGTACCACCTCCACAGGAGCCCTCAGGAAGGAGAAGTGCCCTCCCTAGGCTGCTCGTGCCCATCCTCGGACCCCACAGAGCCGCAAATGCTCCTGCTGTCCCCTGCAACGCAAGTGGCAGCATCCCTCCGGCCACGCAGGACCACTCCACGCCCTGGAGCATCCTCCCAGAATGCTGTAATGGGGCACAAAAGCGAGCCCACCCCCCACCCCCGAGCTCAACCCCCCAAGGGCTGAACCTGCCGTGACAGGACTCAGGGAGCGAAACGAGCAGCAACGTGATGCCGGGTGACATTTAAACCCAGACACAGCTGCAGCAAAGGTGGCAGCGTCGGCATTTTTATTAAACCCACCGGTTTAATTACTGACAGCCCAGCGCTCTCCAGCACAGACACAGTCTCCTAGCCAGAGAAGCATGAGCTGCTGCTTGGGAGGGGCCCAGACCTCCCCCCATTTCCCCCAGCTCACACCCCACCGTGCATCCATCAGCCTCCGGTCCCCAGCTGCTCCAGCATCGTTTCATTCCGCACCCGCTCACAGCCTGAAGGTTTTGCTTCCTGGGCCGCAGTCTCCGGAGGAGGTTACTCACAGCCTGTGATGTGCTGGGAATCGGGCAGAATTCATTCCACCCTGAACATATTTCAGCCTCCAAACTCACCCTGCAGACAGCCTGTGGGGTTCACCAGTTCACCTGCTGGCTTTCCAACTGGTTCCCGCCAGCATTTGGTTCACCTCCACTGGCCCCAGGTGCTTCTAACCTTCCCCTTATCTTCAGTTTGGCAGCGAATTCAGCTGAGCTCTACCCCTTTGCAGAGACCATCCGCTCCTCATTATCCTGCCCCCCCAAATCCTCCTGCACATCACACTCGTGCCAGTCAGCACCCGGCTCCCCCATGTCCTTGCCAGCCGAAATCCCCCCGTCCTGCCATTGCCAAGGCAACCAGCCACCAATACCTCAGGGTGGCTGCTCACCCCCTCCCAAACTGCAGCTCTGGAGACACCGGCCATGGCACAGGGAGGGGATTGAGGGGAAGGACAAAGTCCCCCAAACACCAACACAAAGAGCTCCCTGTGCTTGGGAAAAGCCCATACCATGGAGCATGGAAAGCATTTCACCCTCCCTGAGCATCTACGCCTTCGGAGAAGAGAGTTTTCCGAACAAAAAAAAAAAAAAAATCCCTACCCCAGCCCTCGCAGCCGTCACCTCCGGGCCAGGGGAAGCCGAGGGCAATGGCAGCACCGGGAATGTGTGTCACCCACTGAGACCACAAGGCTGGTGGAGAAATCCCGTGGAGCTGAGAGACCTGGCTTGGCCCCCCCGAGCGTCCCAGAGGCCCCTTCTGTAGGGATCTGCCTTTTTCCCAGACACTGAAGCAGTGACCGGTGACCCCGGAGCATCAACAGTTCTGCAGTTAAAAGACTTCAAAGGAAGCCCCAAGAGGAGGAAAACAGTGCAGGAAATTAATTGACAGCAAATGCCCACATTAAAGGGGATGGAGAATATTTTTTTATCAGGTCGTTTTATGTCTTTCTTTTTAATGTTTTAAAAAGGACTTAAGCTGCCAGGACTTGGAAGAGCCCCCATGGCTGAGAGGCAATGAAGTGCTTTGCTCTCTTCTCCTGCCACCACCGAGGTCCAGCGGGACCTGCTGCCCCCTCCCTGCACAGACACACGTGTGCTGGAACCAGCCGCTCTGCCCAGGCTCCGGAGCAAGAAACGCGCCTACAACGTCCCTTCCCTGGGGAGGGACTACGCAGCTCCTGGGAGGGCAAAGCAACCCCAGAAATAAATCTGCACCCCTGCTGCTGCTCCCCTCCTGGGAGTATTTTGGGCAGAGGGAGCAGGACCCAGGGCCAGGGTTATAAAGCCCTTTTCTCCGGCCAGGGGGGCAGAGCCAGGCTCCCTCCACGCTCTGACTTGCTGGTCACTGTGGGCAAGAGGACCAGCTCCAGCACCTCAGGGTTCACACATGGTCACTCCAGCCCACCACGACCCCTGGACAGATGGTCAGAGCAGAGACAGGATCAGGCTCAGGCCTCTGACCGCTCCCAGAGCCCAGGTGCATCACAGCCAGCCCCCAGCCCCCCCAAACCAGCAGCAAGCAGAGCTGCAGCACCCAGCAGCAGGAGGGCAGAGTTAAGGATAAATTACCCTGGCATAATCCATCTGTTTTCACTTCACTATGAAGCCCTGCAATTCTCCACCTTCCCGGGCTTCAGGGGACATTCTGGGGGGGGGACCATACCCCCCCCCCCCCCGATGCCAATGGGGAGGTCACTGCCTGGCTGGGGAGAGGTGCTGCCACAGGGCAGTTCAAATCCAGTCGTGCCTGTGAATAGCCAGATTTTTGCCTCTCAACAACCCAAAATAGGCACGTGCCAATTTTTTCCCATACTTCTCCCCCATCACCTGCCAAAAAGCCCCAAGATGCCCCCAGCCCCCCCCAGCTAAAGGACAGGGCTCACTTGTCCTTCCGTCCATCCTCCTCCTTTTCCATCCGGCTCGCTCTTGGCAGGTCCGATGCGGTGACAAAGAGCCAATTCAGGGGAGCGGGGCACCTGAGAGGAGCAGGGCAAGGAGCCCAGGGCAAACCAGGCCACAGCCCAGCAGGAAGATAGGGGTTGCAGGGCTCCCGCCCGGAGAAACAGCCCCGGTGACACCAAAGTCAGCCCGTCCCCCCGCCCCAAACCTCCCTGTTGGGCAGCAGGGATGGGCCCGCACCAGGACCCCACGCCGAGGGTGTGTCCATCCAGAGAAAGTGGCCTTTTCTAGCAGGGGTAGCAGAGCGGGATGATGCTGAGAAAGAAAAGCAGCGCCCAGCCTCCTCATGAACCCTGCTGCCCTTCCTCTTCAAAGGGCTCCTTCTCATCCTCTTCCCTACCTGCTCCCGGTATCCCTGACAAAAGGAACAAAACCCACCGTGGTTTGCAGCGTTTCAGCCTCCCAATTAAAATCAAAGGCAACATCACGACCTCCCTGTCCAAGAGAGACACGTATTCCCTGCAGCTCGGGGGAAACATGCCTGCGCATCATCCCAAACCTCTGCCCTCCTCCCCCTGCGCGAGACCCCAAAGGACAGTCCCCAGGGAGGGACAAGGCTCTGCGGGCAGCGATGGGCTGAGCAAAAGAGCACCCAACCCATCCCTGCTTCTGCCTCAGAGCATTTTGGGGAGCCCCCTGGGCCATGCAGAGGGGTGTCCCCCGCTCCTGCACGCCAGGCGAAGCTCACAAGGACACACACAGTCGGACCCAGGCAGTGCTCCAAGGGTGTCAACAACCCGGCCGGGTTTTCCTCCTCAGGTGGCTCTGCTTGAGCTGTGAATCGGCTTTTGCCTTCTCCAGCACGTCCTGTGCTCCCCCAGCCACAAAACCCTCCCTAAACCCTGCTCCCAGCACTGCTGCTCGTTCAGTGCCACCAATGCCCCTGTGAGATGGCTGCCAGGGCAGCAGGACCAGCCCCGCACCCCTGCCAAGAGCCGTTTCAGATTTTTACTGTATTTTTTTCCCCCCTTCTTTCTTTCCTTTCTTCTTTTTTTTCCATTCCACCTGGCACGCCAGCGTTTCCACCCCATTGACTCGGAGCGGTTTCCAGCCGGGAGAACACCGTAATGGCCTCATTATTTCAGATGAGGAATCTGTGTGTTCAATTAGGCAGAGAAGGGTAATTATCTACTTGTGGAAGATAAGGAAAGGGGGGGGTATTTTATCAGGGACACAGCACCAGCACAGCTCCCAGCCAAGCCCCTGGATGCCCCAGCTCCATGTGTGACACTGGCTGGGCCGAGGGGACACGGGTACACCCCAAATAATCACCCCACACCTTTGCTGTGCTCCCCAACACGTGCCAACCCTACTGCCACCACTCGGCCTGGTCCCCCCGCACCCTACACCCCTCCAAGCTGCCGAAAGCCTCGTGCCCTGCACCTTCAGCCTCCAGAAGGTACCTCTGCTGGGCGACACTTCATTAAATGAGTAATTAACCTTTTTTTTTTTTTCTTTTATACAACTTCTGCCAGGTGAGGCAAGCTGGGCAGCATCCTCAGCAGCAGGCAGACAGGTTCTGGCTCACAGTGGGCCTTTCCCCCCCC